TTCCCGTCTAATGCTAACCCCGCTGAGACATCATCATCATCATCATCATCATCATCATCATCATCATCATCATCATCATTATTATTATTTGCCTTCTCCGAAAAGGTATTTCTTTGCGAAGGTTGGTAAGCTTTGCCCCCACTTAGAGCTGGACTTCCACCTCTCCACGGATAGCTGGGTGGTTTGAATGGTTAACTTCAGCTAAGACCATAAAATAAAATCTAACTGCGTTGGTCTGGACATCCCTCATAACGTTTGGGTGTTTCGTCTTGATATGGGGTCTTGATATGGGGTTCGTTTGCTCCGGATTTTGCCGCAGCCTGAATAAAGAAGCCCTTCCAATCTCGGTTCAGAGGAAGAAATTGAATGATCTGAACAGGGGGCAGGGGTGGACCTCCGAAATTCCCCTTTCCAAGGTGTTTAAGGTGTTTTCTTGGAGTAAAATCATGCTTTTTCCTATTTTTCCTCCCCCTGTTTTCCATGCCTTGGCCCAGGGAAAGCGTCTGGGTGTGAAGTCTTCCCACTTGGGAGACATACCAGCACCCTGAAATGGGTGCATGCGTTTGGTTAATAATGCTTTCTCCTCTCTGTGTGAACGTGGAGCAAAAGTAATTGCGAGGGGGGGGGATCATCATCTTCATCATCTGGCGTGGTGGAGGAGAATGGCAGGGACTTCAAGGGAACAATGAAGTTTAAGGGTCACTGTTCTGAAGTTGGACACCATACCCTCCCTCTGATTCTCTCTCTGTGTAGGCTGATATATGTCAGGCTATAAGAGGTTCCTGCAGAAGATGAGCGAATGCCTAAATCTGTGCCTTTACTGTAGGATCAGTCTGTCCCAGAGTTAAGGAAACCAGAAGTCCTCATCTAGACAGGATTTTGTAAATGTTCAGGTTGGAAATCCAGTTTTAACTGCCTGGCTCAGACATACGGGCATCAATAGTGAGATCAAGTTAGACTTTAAGTCTCTGCAAACCGCAAGATCAGCGGGAGAATATTAGAGAGACCATGGGTGTTTCGTTTTATAAAGAAGTCGGGTTATATTATTATTATTATTATTATTATTATTATTATTATCATCATCATCATCATCATCATCATCGTTATTTTTATTATTATTATCGTCGTCATCATCTGAGCTGCCAGGTAATTAAAAGTTCAGCCGGTATACCTGTAGAACTTTAATCCGCAATGGGAATCAATGGGCATTTCAGCCTTGAAGTGATCTTAGTTGTGTAAAATATTGATTCAGATCACTTCCCAGGTATCTTGAATTCCCTCTGTCGCCCCTGCCTCACCGATGTGATTAACTTTTTTTCAGAATACCTTAAATATCCCCGTCTTTCAGTCTCAAGAATAGTGGAGTAGAAGGACGGGGGGAGTCCCCTGCAATAGCCCCAGCCTTTCAGAGGTGAGGAACGCAACCCCTGATCTCCCGGCAGAGTTCAGAAAGTCCGTTATCTTACAAAGAGGGCTGCAGATTTGTGTTATGCATTCATAAATAAATGCACGCGCGCGCCCACTCACACGCATACACGCACCTGTCTAGAATCCCAGATGCAAACCAAGCTCATTTTTATACCAGAAATCAATGACCATAAAGAAGGATAATGTAATACTAATAATAAAAATAATAATGATGATGATGCATTCCCATAATCTTACTGTTGTTGCTCTGAGTTTCAAAAACCTCTCTTAAAGAAATAGGGAGACGGGAGGAAGGAGCGAAGGACTGGAGTATGGGGAAAAAACAAAGTCAGACAAACAGAC